TCGGAGCTTTCGCGCTACTCTCTGTTTGATCAGGAAATACAATCACTTAACTTGATACTTTTTTTTTTACTTTATAACATATTTTGACGATTTAAGCCAGGAGAATGTATAGAATGCCAGAAAAACAAACTGAAGTCTGAACGGTTTCGAACTGCGCTCGAAGTTGTTTTTTATCAATATGCAAATCACCGAGCCTTTCGCTTACTTCCTATCAAACTGAAATATCCTGACTTTTTTACCACTTTTCGGTTTGCTTCGTTTCATTTTATATTATTTTGTGCAAGCTGAATTCTTTCATGTAAATTTACGCTCTCAAAAGGAAAAAGAGTCGAGGAAACTTTGGTCTTCTATCGTCTCCAAAACATTAAAGATGTTTCACCAATTTCCACCTACAAATAGTAGGAGACATTTGATTGACAGAACAATTTGCATTTACTAACGACACGTTTCTACATGCGCGATTCCGTAATTCGTGATACTATTGTACCCCATGACAAAGAAGTCGACCCATGCTACCATGAAAAACTATTGCAATCTAGCCACCGTGACAAAACAGTTATCCCATGCCACACATGACCTAAACATTGCACTTATGCCACTATTACAAACCACCTCTCCCAGGTCATCCATGACAAACTATTTTACCCATCAACCCATGCTATCCATTACAAGCCATTTTACCTATGCCATCCATGACAAACTATTTCACCCTTTCACACATGACAAACCATTACAGCAATACTACCATAACAAACTGTAAGGCCAATTCCACCATGACAAGCCATCCTACCCATGACAAATGATTAAGCCCATTCCAACATGACAAACCATTTCACCCATGATACCCGTGACAAACCATTGTATCATTGTACCCCATGACAAACAAGTCGACGCATGCTACCATGAGAAACCATTGCAATCATGCCACCGTGACAAAGTGTTTCACCCATGCTGCCCATGACAAACCATTGTATCATTGTACCACATGACAAACACGTGCACGCATGCTAGCATGAGAAACATGGGCAGAAATTGAGGAAAGTATGGCCGCTAAGCATGCGCATTAAGGATCCTAATGGCCTTTAGAAATGTCTGTCTCTAGTAAGGATTTGTATGGCGAGAGAGAAATTCTTAAAAATTACATTGAACTGAAAAGGAATTTCATACCTGCGAACATCGGTATGTTATTGTGGTAGGATGAGGCTACTTTGTGCGAAGTTTAGAGGTCCTTACTCATTTCCTCTCGGTTCCTTGGCAAATTACGCCAGCGCCATACAACAGTCATATTGATCTCGCCATACAAACACTGTATATCAGCTAAAATTACCAATATTTAAGCGACTGTACGCGAAGAGAAAGGTGCGGCCGAAAACCTGCGAACATCGCGGTACAAACTTGGGCCTATTATCTTTCATTTTAAACCATTTCTACGGCAGAATACTGCATCCAAAACGTTCCTCAAGAAGTTAAAGATATTGATGAAATTTACGAGCCAATGGCGCCCAAAATTGCCGAAGAAATGAACAGTTTTTGTCGCTTCTGCAGCACAAAACAAGAGTCCGCCATTTTTGAACATCAAAGTCGGAAAAGCTTACATGGAATATATTATTAAACGTGGGAAAACCGCCGTTTTGCATAGATAGCAGCCTCCGATTCTATTTTTTATCTGGCTATGGTGTGATGTCCGTGACAACCCATGACAACAAGCATGACTAGAACGTATGGGCATTGCGCAACTCTTTTTTTAACGAAAGAAAGCTTTTGGTGCTTTTACATCGCCTTTAAGGATATACAATATCCTTCAAAGCTTGATTCTTTAGTTTTAACAACAATTTTGTCATTTCTGTGCCAATATTTTGAAAGAAATGGAAAACAGGCATGAGCCCGCAAATTGACCGCTGGCTGTCTCTGATTTCTGCCCATGCCATGACAATCGTAGCACTCTGACAAACTGTTGCAACGATACCACCATCATGATCCATTCCATCCACGCCACAATGACAAACCATCTCACGCAGTACATCTATGATGAACCGTTTCACTCATTCCACCCACGACGAGCCATTTCATCCCTGCTATAAATGTCAAACCATTTCATCCATATTACTCATGACAAACCATTGTACCAATGTACTTGTCACAAACCAGCAGGCTCATCCCTTCCATGGGAAATCATTGCAATCATGCCACCATCACAAACCATTTCAGCCAAGCCATCTATGACAAACCATCTCCCCATTCCACGTATGACAAACCATCTCACCCAAGCTACCCATGACAAACCATTTCGCCTTTGCCATCCATGAAAAACTCTTTCTCCCTATTACAAACATGAAAAAAACAACATTAGACCCATGATGTCCCCGTGAGAAACCATTGCAATTATGCCACAACCAGAAATTCTTTCACCCATACAATCCATGATAAACCATTTCACCCATTCTACCAAATTACAAAATTATGGCAAATTACTTCACCCATGCTACTCATGACAATTTCACATGTTCCATTCCTGATAACCATGGGTCCTATTCCACCAGGACAAACCATTCCACCCTTGCTACCCATCACAAACCATTTCACCCATCCAATTCATGACATACCATTTATCCGTAAACAAAAAAGGTATTTCACCCACCTAATGTTTCTCTGCAGAGGAGTCACATTTAGCGGTCTCTCCTTTTTTGGCAATGGTTGGGATCATGTTGCAATCAATTCGTTAGTCATTCGCCTTTAAGTTGCCCGTGAATAACACAACAGCCCACATTTTTAAATAGTTAAATCATTATGAATCTCCACAGCTTCAGAATCAGTCCATGTGATAGTCGTTTGGGTTACATTGTTAGCTATCTATTGTCCGGCATGCTTTCAATCCTTGAAGGAGTTGTCCTTAATTTGTCTCATATTTGATCAATGACCAATCAACACAAGCATGATTCCCATAAAAAATGAACAATTACACTGATACCACCCACAAGAAAATATCGCAAATGCACTACCATGACAAACATGCCACCAGTTATGTAACCCTTAGACAAACCTTTACGACCATGCCACCTATGTAAGACCATTGCAACCATACCACCCATGACTGACCATGTATTTCACCCAAACATAACTTTGCCAAACCTTAATAGCCATTGCGCTCAAGCCACCATGACAAACCATTTTACCCAAGCTACCCAAGGCAGTGCACTACCCTCATGCCACACACAACAAACCATTTCACCCATGACAAACCATTAAGCCTGTACCACCTAGGATAAACCGCTAAGCCCATTCAACGTTGACGAATCATTTCACCCATGACATCCATGACAAAACATTAAATCTACCCACCTATGACAAACCTTTTCACCAATGACATACCATGACTAATGATTAGGCCCATTCAACCATGACAAACCATCAAATCTTTGCTACCATGAGAAACAATTGCAATCATGCACCATCACAACCATTTCAGCCATACCACCCTTGACCAAACACTGCCCTCATGCGTCCTTGACAAACCATCTCACCCAAACCATCTATGACAAATCAGCTCACCCATTCCACCCATGTTCAACCATTTCACCCATTCCACTCATGACAAACCATTTCACTCACGCTACCCATGAAAAACCATTGTATCATTGAACCTCATGACAAACAAGTCGACCTATGCTACCATGAAAAACCTTTGCAATCATACCACCGTGACAAAGCATTTCATCCATGCTACCCATTACAAACTGTTTTCCCCATTTACTCACGACCAGCCATTACACCCGTACTACCCTAACAAACTATAAGGCCAATTCCACCATGATAAACCATTTCACTCCTGCTACTTGTGACAGGCCATTCTACCGATGACAAATGATTAAGCCCATTCCACCGTGGCAAACCATTCCACCCATGCTACTTAAGACAAACCATTGTACCATTGTACCCCATGACAAACAAGTGCACGTATGCTACCATGAGAAACCATGACAATCGTGGCACACTGAGAAACCGTTGCAACGATGCCACCATCATGATTCATTCCATTCATGCCACAATGACAAACCATCTCACGCAGAACATCTATGACGAACCGTTTCACTCATTCCACCCATGACGAGCCATTTCATCGCTGCTATAAATGACAAACCATTTCACCTGTGCTACCCAAAACAAATCATTGTACCAATGTAATTTATGAAAAAAAAAACACCAGTCCCATGCTGCCATAAGAAACCATTGCAATCATGCCACCATCACAAACCATTTCACCCAAACTACCCATGACAAATTATTTTACCTTTTGCTATCCATACGACAACTTATTTCCCCCATTCCGCACATGAAAAGACATTGGACCCATGTCCCCATGACAAACCATTGCAACTATGCCATCATCAGAAAACCTTTCTCCCATACAACCATTTCATCCATTCTATCGTGGCAAATTACTTCCACCATGCCACTTATGACAAACCATTTCACATCTTCCATCCCCGAAAACCATGGGTCCTATTCCACCAGGACAAACCATTTCACCGATTCTATCCATGACACACCATTTATCAGAAACTAAAAAGGTGTTTCACCAACCTTATGTGTCTCTGCAGAGGAGTGACATTTTCCGGTCTCTGCTTTTTTGGCAATGGTTAGGATCCTGTTGCTATCGATTCGTCAGTCCTTCGCCCTTAACTTGCCTATGAATAACACAACACTGCATTTAGTTAAATCAATATGAATTTCCACAGCTTCAGGATCAATCCATGTGGTAGTCGTTTGGTTTAGATGGTTGGCTATTTGTTTTCTAGTATGCTTTCAGCCCTTGAAGGAATTGTCGCTAATTTGACTCATATTTCCTCTCAAACCTAAGCCTTGAAGGGAGCAGGCAGTCTATGCGAACGATGTGCTTCATGTAGCAGTCACGAAATGACAAATGTCCTGCTCTTTGCGTTACTCTTCGTCTTACCAAAGTCGATTCAGTTTTTCGCTTGTCTTGGCTTTTTTTCTATAACATGCGAAAGATTTTGAATGAAGAGGAATATTTTCGTCATCTAAGAAATAGTAGGCATGTTTCTGAAGACTATAGTCTCTCTTCCTGGGACGAAAACGCCAAAAGGTAAGAAAGCTTCTGAGTTTTGCCGACACGGAAAAATATTTATTCGCCTCCTGAAAAGAGCCTTTTAGTAGCTATAAAAGACATAAAATAGTAATATAAATTGTTAAAACTAAGAAAAAACGTGTCTGGTTTTATAAAAAAGGGAATAAGAAACTGTTGGCATGCTTCTGAAGACGCAAAAAGGTAAGTCCTCGTGTTATGATGCGTGACATTTTCGCTCACACGAAAAATATTCATTCGCCTACTGAAAAGAGCTTTTAGCGGCTATAAAACACATAAAATAGTAATATAAATTGTTAAAACTAAAAAAAAAATTCTGTCTGGTTTTATAAAAAAAGGAATAAGAAACAGTTGGCATGTTTCTGAAGACGCAAACAAGTGAGTCCTTGTGTTACGATGCGTGACATTTTCGCTCACACGGAAAATTTTTATTCGCCTACTGAAAAGAGCCTTTTAGAAGCTATAAAACACATAAAATAGTAATATAAATTCTTAAAACTAAAAACAAAAAAAAACTGTCTGGTTTTATAAAAAAGGAATAAGAAACAGTTGGCATGTTTCTGAAGACGCAAACAAGTGAGTCCTCGTGTTATGATGCGTGACATTTTCGCTCACACGGAAAATATTTATTCGCCTACTGAAAAGAGCTTTTTAGCAGCTATAAAACACATAAAATAGTAATATAAATTGTTAAAACTAAAAAAAGATCTGTCTGGTTTTATAAAAAAGGAATAAGAAACAGTTGGCATGTTTCTGAAGACGCAAAAAGGAGAGTCCTCGCAACGTAAGAAATCAGATATCTGTGTCACGTGACCACTTATGGTCGAGTCCAAGAAAGAAAAGAAAACTAAAAATGGGGTGGCGAGATGCCACCCAGTATATATTAAATACAATATTTTTGTTATTGTATCATCGTTTCTCGCTTGAATCTGGCCGGAATGGTTGACTCACGTTTTTATTTAATTAGTAATTAAGCAAAATAGGTCACGTTACACTCTTCACCAGTTAATATCTTTTTAAGAAATTAAGAATTCTCTCCGTTCCTGCCACAGAAAAAATTCGTACGGCTGAAAAAACATTTACACATGGTTCAAACTTAGTTGTAATCAACCATTCCTACCCTATTTTGAATTTCTTTTTGAATATCATTATGACGTCACGTTTCACGTGACTACATCAGTTCAACCCTAGTTAATTCAACACCTCAAAAGAAAGTTTCTCGAAAGTTTTTTGTAACTTTTAGAATTAAAATGCATGGCCGTAGAAGAAAAACAGCTTTATCTTCGCGGGGGGTCGAGACCAAAAATTGAGCCATGCTTTAACATGCTTAAGCACTGAAAAGAGCTTTTTAGGAATAAGAAACAGTTCGCATGTTTCTGGAGACGCAAAAAGGTGAGTCCTCGTGTTATGATGCGTGACATTTTCGCTCACACGGAAAATATTTATTCGCCTACTGAAAAGAGCTTTTTAGCAGCTATAAAACACATAAAATAGTAATATAAATTCTTAAAACTGAAAAAAAAACCTCTATGGTTTTATAGAAAAGATTCTCAATAACGCATAGGGTTTGTGAAATAATCTTCGCCATTTCTACATGGGTCTCAAGTTACTAAGTGTGGTAGATATAAATCAGCGCACTACTCCACCCTGCCCTTACTCTGCCCCTAACCCATCTGTTGGTAAAGAAGGGGAGCAACAAAGAAGCAGTGTAATAATAGAATTTTTTGCTGCAGGACCACTTTTGTGGCCGCAAGTTTGAAAGCTATTCTAGCCAATAGTTGGAAGTGTGGAATACCTCTCCGAAGAATTATCGAACTTTTTCTCTATTTCATGAACTAGTATACTCATCGTTGCTTATCTTCTCCAGTAATCATATGATTTCGAAGGAAAGGTGCCCCGCAACACAGGGACTGTGGTCCTCATATTGATTAATATTGATTTAGTTACCAAACCTTAGTTTTCCTTTGAAGTGTGGGAGATAGTGGCCAGTGCACCACTCTCCCCCTCGCACTAGAAATCAATAAAAAAGAGGGATTAATCTATATAACAATCTATCTCTTTAAAAAAGTTGTTTAGTAAGAAATTGGTAATCAACGTTCAAAGTCAGTCAAAGTTTTACATAAATGCAACAGAAGAGCAGTTGGTGCTGTTAAATAGATCAATTATTTTATATGTGTGTGCTGTTTGACAATGATTACTACAAATTTTTGCCGTTTAGTGACTGTGCGCCAAAACAAGTCATTTTATTGCAACCATCTGAACTTCTAACTACTTTATTGAAAACCTTTTAATTCCTTCTTCAACTTTTCTTTGTTTTTTTTTTTGTTTCCCAGCGTTGCTAAGTTGAATAACCACGATAGGTTTGGCTACCTGCAACCGAAAACAATGTTCCTTTGTGGAATGTGCAAAGCTGAGATTAAGTCCCTTGTCCAGGAAACTGTTTTCGCTCCCAAAAAATACACCATTGAAGAAGATGGAACGCATGTTGCCGAAAAGTCTTTCCTCTACAACGTAGGAGAGTTTGTGTATTATGATAACGCTGACAACCTCTGCTCCTTATTATTGCAAGTGGTAAAAGTTGTTTTTTTAGTCAACAAGGATGGGGACGTTCTCGTTATTACAGCATATCCAACAAATGTAAGTATCAAATTTCGTTATTGCCAAACAGAATATAGAATCTTAAATAAATGACTAATAACATTTAAGAAAATGATAGTGCTGACACGACTGTTCACTTTTGTTTGAACGTTTTCTGCTACCTTTACCTAAACTATAAGTACGTCTTTACGTTTGGATAACTAGGATGCAAACTAACGTGCAACTTGAGAAAAATTGAGTCTTTTCATTTTGTAATTTAATTCCTGTGATGAGAAAAATAACAAAGCGGGTTTATCGCAGTTTTCGCTTCAACGGAATCACTTGATATATTTCTTTTGTAGCTTCTAGCATAAGAAAAAATGGCCAAGAATACTGAACTCAAGAAACTGCAACTCTTCATGAAAAAGCTATTTTAAGTTGCAACCGATTTTGCAACATAAACCCTCCAAAGTTAAATATATTCATAGTCAACTAACTACTATATTATATTGCTACAAACATGTACGGTTAATATGAACTAAGTTCAAGGAACTGATCAATAGGTTCAGGGGGTAGCGTGCCGGAGTATACATTGTTAACCTTACCAGTAAGACGGATCATGCTATTTTCAGTATCAGGGGGGTAAGGGGTATCATTTTGTAAGCGTTGGATTTTTCATACTCTTTCGAAGACCTCTGCAAGCCTATGAACAGATAAATCCTCATTAAATCTCTAAAAAACAAATAGAAATCTGGGATAACGAGCAATGGAAGCTTCTACTGGTACTGAATTTTCTTGTAGGATGAGGACAATCAAATCTATAAATTTCTCGCTATCAAAGACATCTGTATTATTTAAACTACCTGACTGCGTTATCATGAAGAACTTATGTACACTTGACGTAATTAGCAAATAATCCTATGCTCTGGATCTGTTCAAGCTCACTACTGTTAAAATTTACTCCATGAATTGAAAACCTCAAGTCTAGTTAATCTCTTTATTACCATAAGAAAATACAAATGTAATGACTGCTGAAAATAATGGTTTTATTCTCTTTTGCCAATTTTTAAAACACTTTTAAAAAATTACTTTACTATGTCCATTGCTGATGATTAATGATGCTTATCCAGTTCATATTCATTCAACAACTCTTTCTGAATAATAAATTCTTAAAATTAATCTACTACTGTATTAAGAGACCACACCTTATAATATGAAAACTGAGCAAACCCTATTATATAAAAATATATGAAAGTGTTCAAAATTAATTGTTTTAACTTGGTTTCACCATCTTTCCATTTTGTAATTTTTTACAGGAGAATGAGTGGGCCAATCTGCCAATCTGGAAGCTAAGATGATTTAAGGTACTTTTCATATCCTGGAGTTGGTAGTGTGTGCTTCAGTTCATATTGTGGTCTTAAATGTCAAATGCCTACCTCAGGCGAATGAAAAAGCTAGATATATCAAAACTAAATGAGATTTCTAATGAGTGTTTGTATGTTTAAGAATAAAATGAAGCAATCGATCCGAAATCTGAACAAAGCGAGTGTCATCTTGAATGTTCTACAGTGATAAATTTACTTCTCGATTTATTTTTCGATTCGGGAAGAAATTTGAAATTAAGAACCTTGCAAACTACTATAAAAGTTATAATTGGTTTGAAGGTTTGTTAGCATCAATTTGGACGATTCTAGTTTTCCGTACATCCTTTCCTTTAAATCAGTCTTTTCATTACAAAAGTATAGATTGCTTACATTTCTAAGGCCTAGGCTAAACGTCGTACCGTTTCATGACACGAACCAAACTCTAATTTGGCTAGACCTAAATTAAGTTAGGATCGTCTGTTGGGTCAGACGTCGAACTTAAGACGCGTCGAACCAATCAACTGAATCAGACCAAGAAGCAATTTTCTTTCAAATTTAGCCCAAACGAGGCTATATAAATATACATTTTCATACAATTTTTTAGTCAATTAGTTTACTTTGTTGCATGTCAGGATCGATGTTTGTCCCGCAGACGATCCTTAGACGTTCTTTCATGTTTGCTTCGGATAGAACGTGTTGGACGATCTAAACTCATTCAGACGAACTTAACTGAGCCAGAAGTCGAACTTTTCGTGAACTTAACGCACAAGTTTGGTTCGTCTCATGAAAAGTTTGACATTTGGCCTAGGCCTAAGCGCATATTCAACAACTCTGTAGTATTCCTTTCTAGATCAAACTTGAACGAAAGTGAAAGGCACTTGCATCATCTAAAATGTCTTCAACTAATTCACCCAGGCATCATTCAGCTTTAGTGAAGAAGCGGGAAATGAAAGGACTTAACTCAACGACTATATAGGGCTGTCATAGCAGTTATTTTCTTTTGAAAAGTTGAGTTTGCTGTTATTCGGGAGTTGTAGATGAAGCAACCTTTTATGTAAAGGACGGCACATCATGTTAATTCAATTCGCCATACAAATGGAATATACATTTTTCGAGGCCAGGCGCAAAAAATGACAAGGAAGTGAAATTAAAGTAAACTTCCGAGTAATCTTCACCATTTCGTAGTTGGTGAGTCGTCGAATGTGAAAACTTGACAAACATTTTCAGCGTTGTATGGCGTACCAAAGACACCGAAGGGCAGATAGTAAGCCACATGTAAAACCCTTCTGACGTCCATCTTGTTAACAGCTTACTGACTCATTTTGAAGGAGCAAGTCAAGTTTTTGTATTATGTACGGAAAAAAAGGCACATTTCGCAAAAGATCTGCAATACTTTCGTTGTATCTCACTTTAAAATTTTGATCAGTGTATATATTTTATCGAAAAGTCTCGTTTAGCCTGTCCTCGGCTTTTCATAAATTTCAAACCTTGTGTTGATTATTTTGTGTAAACTGAGAGCAAATGGAAGATTAAATGATGTTGCTGATTTCACGACTTAAAGCCGGGAAACTTTTAATTTTACCTACCTTCATATGCACCCTAGGCCGGCGCCAAAGCAGGACAGGGATGACAGAAAAAGAAGCCTTGAAACAAATGCGCAAACCAATGATTCATCTGGCTTCATACGAAACGTGCGACAAATAAATTAACGGAAAGTAAAGCGAAGTGTCCGGAAAATAGAGCGTCGAGGAAATATTACAGACACAGCCGGAGACAAGTTTATTTGTCAGAGGGATTTGATCATCATTTGCATTTTAAAACTAAAACTGAAAGTTCTGCAATTCATAATGGACCAACGTAAAGTTTCATTTAAGATAAAACATTCATTTTTTTATTGTTTCAAAGCACTGGTGTCCCTAAATAATTCAACTCATGCGAGAGCACACTGTGAATTTGAAAAATATCAGTGTTCTGATTGGACAAAAACCAATGGCCCTACGGCTTGCTTTCTTTCCACCCAGCAGAGAAGGGCAGAGAAGCTGCTTATAGGCCACGCATGGCCAACTAGATTCACCAGTCCAAAAATAGCCTGTATCTACTAACGGATTTTAGATACTTTTAAATACTTCGAGGACCACTGTGCTGATTTTTTTCCTACAATGACAAAGGATGAAGTAAATGCCTGCCTTCAAACCCATACACGTCCTTTCAGAAGTATTAAAGGGGAGTGCTTTATCGTTTACATAAATAGACTTGATTTGCACTAGTCTTTGCATAATCATTAATAAATAATTTTAGAGCAGTTCTCTGAGAAAATGGTGCCAAGTTAAAAATGACTACAAATTTTTTGTATGCAAGTAGGTTACTCGGGGGATGGAATTAAACCACTACTTTTTGGTCAGTTAATGCATCGATGACGAGGTAACCATTCTCCAGCCTCAGGCTCGTGTTTTAACCGCAAATTTTACTCTCAAAAAGTGACTATAAATTAATGATTCTGGTTCTCTGCCGCGCCTTTAACAAATTCGGTGAAACTTTGCCGGAGGGTAGAGTAAAACTTCTCGTTTAATATAACATATAAAAAAGGATTTTTCTGATCAAGAGCGAAATATGGGATTCCTCAGGTTACTCTTCTAAGTTGTCTCTCAGCCACTTTGAGAGAGCAAAAATTACCACATTTCACGTCTCAATTTGTCTGGTAAGAAAGTTGAAGTTTGTTTATAAAATGAATTTGGAAAACAATTCATACGGCAGTGTTATTTGTTCAAATTTGAAGCTAAGTGACAAACTTCATCCCGTTCGCGCCGAAGTGGATAGGGCTTCCTTTCAGTGATGCACTCGGCCACATCAAAAGAACTGTCAGTCCCTTTTTGTTTTCTCTTTTCGCAACTTTGATTGGCTAACTTACTGAATCGTGCAGGTCGGCAAGCATTTTCCCTCGGTTTCTCTCAAAATTGTGGCTCCTTAGAGAAGGGTGATGGGAACGGGGTCATTACCACAAACGGTATATCCGCTGACGATATGAATGCATTTTAGCCAAGTATTACGTAGAGTAGTCAGGAAAGAAAATTGTAAAGCGTCGGAGTCATGCTGGAAAGAAACATGTCATTAAGGTAAAGCACTGGAACTCATCTCGTAGTTTTTCGCGTATAATTAAAAAGGCAGTATTAAAATATCAAAATGTCCCGCGTGAAAATCTATTTGCCAAGAGCTGATTTAGAGCCCAGTCCCTTCCTTGGTGTAGCAACGCCTGGACGATGTTTTTATAAAATGGCGACCTTCGAGTTTCATTTATGTGAAATGTTTGATGTTTTGTTGACGTGTATCTAAAAAGGAGAGATTAAAAATGATGCAAAATGAATTTATCTTGATTTTCTGGCCTGGATAGGAATTTTTTTAGAAAAGCGGTGCGAGTCTTCCAACGCACTTTAAAGGTAAGAGTAGGACCAGATTGAGTCACTGTTGAGCGGTAAGTGAGTAAGTACAACTTGAAATCTAAAACTCACCAAAACGGCCTCGATGGCTCTAGAAGAGAGAGCATGGTAAAAGACACAACGCAAACAAAAGGTGAGTTAATTTTATTTCGAATATTTCCAAAGAACTCCTACAGAGTCTGGGCTGCCTGTGATTGAATGATATACATTTGTAAAAGGTTCGGCAATTTGTTCATCGTTTATATTCTGGGAATATCGTTGAACCGAATATACT